CGAGCACCGCCCTGAACGCTTCTTTCCGGTTCAGAACGCTGATTCACTTCTAGAGCTATTTGTGAATTGATATCCAATGGTACTTCAGCTCAAATTTCGGGTTCTTCGATTCGAGCCTCGTTACCGTCGTCAGGTAGCCTTCCGGCCCCGGGCACCAAGTTGTTGGTTTCATCTTGAAGGCCGGCTTCGAGGTCGATAGGTAGAGCCATTTTGAAGTTGTAAGCTGGAATGCACTGTAGATTTATATCAAACAATCACTATTACCCTTAGCCTCACGGTGGGCGCCAAACTGTTTACCCAAAAAATCGGATAACGTTAAATTTATATATGGTTCTAAAGGTATGCAAATTCCTTTGATACAAAATAACAATACAAGTATCTTTGCTATAAAATGTGAATGATGGACGGGAAGGCTGAAATGAATTAGAAAAAACAAGCACAATGAAACGTTGATGTATCTTGGAGGACCTGCGTCCATTGCAGTCTATCTCCCTTTTTATAGTAGAGGGTCACTGCTTTATCTATAACAACATAATAAAATAATACATATAGTGGAGAACCCATTATGGTTTGTCTCTTCCTTGATTCTCGCCAAGATTCTCTCCCTTGGTGCGGTTGTAATGGCTCTTGTCTGCGAGCTTGACACTGACTCGAGCTCGGTGTTAGATCGAATCCCGAGTCTTGGTTCGAGCTCGGTTCTGCCTTGGGGCATCGATATTCGGGGCCTGTGTCGATCGGTGTTGCCCCGTAGCCCGATTCGTACACGGGCTCGATAATAATATCGAGTTTTGCCGTTGATTGGTCTTATAGTTCGAAGCTCGACGTCTCTACTTCGGAATTTGTTCGAGCTTGTCATGTGGATACCCTTCGATTGAAACGTCATTGTCTCGACCGGTCCTTATGACTGGGAATCGGTTTTGACCGTACACAGCTTAACTAATGAGTATACTGTATAACAGTTAGCAAATTAAACGGTTCAAATAATTTTACCAGTCTTATCACCGTACATTAGGTCAGGATAGAAGTATTAGCAACCTTATCTCAAGTCAAGATTCTCAATTAGAGCCAACAAGTTTGCAACTTTACAGAAACCCAACAAATAATACAACAAAATAAACCATTCCACGTAAAGAGAACTTAAAATAAATTTAAAACAAGAACCTTAATTACGGGGTCACACCAGAACCGGCGGTCAATTTCGTCAGGCGAAACAGTGGAAGTACCAGGGTAAGTCATAGGAAGAGGAAGAGCTTCACTATCATCAGCCAAATAACTCTCTGTTACGCGACCAACGCCTTTCCTTTGCATTCACTTTTGTGTTCTTTTTTATGTTATTATTCCCAATTCGCTTATTAGCAATTTCGTCGGAGTTTTGGCTAATTCTGCCAAACCCAGGTGCTGCTGAGTCGGCAGCGGCGTGGCAACGAATGAAGGTGGGTTTATGAGGAGGAAAAAGAGAAACTGTGGAAATGGAGGAATTTGGAGGACTGTAGATTGAACAAGGATTTATTAAAGGCAACATTTGAAAGAAATTAATAAGGTGAATTGTAGTATCATAGAGTAATAATCAAGTGTGTTGTCGAATGTTGGTTTAATGTCATTTATCGGAGAAAAGATAAAGGAGTAACAGTGTGAGTTTTGAAAAACGTGGGTGTTCATTTTAAGGAATTTTAAGTATGTATGGACGGAGAAAAGACAGCGGAGTTTGCCAAAACACTGGAGAAGGTCGGTGAAATTTGCAAAGTATAATTCCGAAAAAAATTATAGCTGTTTGGTCAGCTTTTCTTTTTTGGTTTTTTGTTTTTTTAAAGTTAAAAGACGTTTGACCAAGTTTTTAGATAAAAAAAAAAAGTATTTTTTGAGTAGAAGCCATGAGCAGTTTTTGAGAAGTAACACTTTTTTGAAAAGTATTTTAAAGAAAAATACATTTAAAATTATTTCTTAAAAGCTTCATCAAACACTAATTAATGTTTAAAAGTGCTTTTTAAATTAATTAATCAAATACAATATATTTCTCACAAAAAATACTTTTGAGAAAAATATTTTTCAAAATAAGTTGAATTAGAAGCTTGGCCAAACAGGCTATTATATTTGGTTTGCCCAACTTAATAACATAAATCATTTGCTTAACCGTATTAATTACTAATATACATTGTCACTTTAATTTTATTACTAAATATGATAAATTATTATAATTTTTAAAATATCGAATGTAAGTAAGTTTCTCCGTCAATTATTATGTTTTTCAGCACGTTTAATGTTTAAGAATAACATTACTAGTATTGAATTTCAGTAGTTTTATTATCATTCTTGTTTACTTAGATTTTCTTGCTCTCTTTATAATTACGTGAAGAAGAGTATAATTTGAGGACCACTGACCAGTAAGGATTCTCAGAGTTTGTTCAGGTCTAAGATTTTTGTACTATTAAATTGTACTTTTAGATGTTCAAAATATTTCTTAAAAAATTTCAAAAACAATTTCGGAAAAGATAATTTGAATACACAACTTAGTAGCGAAAATGGTTTCTTAGATGAAAAACGTAGTTTTGTTTGGCTCTTAGAAGAAGTAGGTCGAGCAAACTGTAACGTGACTAATGCTGTTCCATTTAAACTTGGAAGAATTTGCATTTGCCTTCTTTTTTTCCTTTTTCAGATAAATTTTAGGTGGTCAGAATAGGTGATTATAGTTTACATTCTCTCCATAAACTTTGGCAAAGTCCCCATCAAAACAATTTTTTATACAATATTTCATTACCTCCCCCACCCAAAAAAAAAAAAGCAAGTTGTAGTAGAAAAACTCGGTAAATTTTATAAATGGTCATATAATTATATTTTTTTTATCAAAGTCATATAATTTTATTTTCTCACACAAAAATCATACAACTTTCACTAACTCACACAAAAAATATAGTGACCGGAAAACATAATTTTTAGGTAGTATTTTCTTCTTTCACGTTTTTTTATTTTTTATTTTTATCTAATAAATAATAGCCCAATTAAAATAAGAGAAATACATATTTTTAACCGCTCACAAAAATAATAGTCGATATATATATATATATATATATTAGTTTTTTTTCTAACGAATGTAATTAGTTTCGGTTCCGGTTAATTTTGTATTTTCCCTTAAAATGGGAATGATCTAACCCAACCTAACCAAAATCTATATACATAAATTAAAATAATACAAAAATTGAATCCTAAACCCCCACAAAAAAACTTAGTTCGGAATGCGCGAGAGCCTGACCAAAAAAGAAAAAAAATAAATGGTATAATTAGAGAGCATTTGAAATAAAAATACTATCAATGTGAATGGAAATCTTGAAAATAAAATAAAATATAGAAGTATCGTGTTTTGAAGGATTCACTTTTAGTATTATTTTTATATTTATATATATATATATATATATATATATATATATATTGGGTCGGCTGAGTCGGACCGGATTGGGTCATTCTTATTTTAATTGAGTTATTATTTTAGACTAAAAATAAAAAATAAAAGACGTGGAATAAGAAAATACTACCGGCAAATTATGTTTTCCGGTCACTATAATTTTTGTATGAATTAGTGAAAGTTTTATGATTTTTGTGTGAAAAAACAAAATTATATGACTTTAGTTGGAAAAAAAAGTCAAAATTATATGACTATTTGTGAAATCTACCATAGAAAAACATGGTTACATCTATCCTCTATTAAATCATTACTAGTTATTAAATCATTACTAGTCATAATAACTGATATACAAATACACCCTTACTTTGCTAATTATTTTTTAAAATTTTAGATTTGATTATGCTTATGCTATACACCAAGTATACCAAAGACTAAATGCACTTCTTTCGAATCCCTCCATCCCAACTTCTTGCTTGTGTTTCTCTTTGTTTCTGTCCACTTCCTGAAATGTGTAACAAATTCTGGTACGTACTTCATTTATTCCTGTATTTAACTTGATACTTCATTTCCAGGAGTGACCCTAAAACAACAGATATTAAATAACATCAATAAGATCAAAAAAGTTGTATCAAATTTGTAAATAGAGACATGTTTCAATTCAAGATTACTCACGTAAGGTTTATGCCATTTTTGTTTTTTAGGCTTGCTGGAATGCTCCCTTTGAGGTGGTTGTTTTGGAGAAACCTATAAAACCAGAAATAACACTTAAAGAGCTGAACTTTAATCATCAAAAGTACAAAATGAAAACAGAGATTAGTCAAAGAGGAGCATACACTTCTCGAAGTTTTGGAAGTTGTCCTAATGATTCAGGGATTGATCCTTGCAACTGGTTGTTTTCCAAGTGCCTTTTTCATTGCAGGGAGATATTGGATTTGTTATAGATTCCGATATAGGATAAGAAATAGAGTCAAATAGGAAAAAGAAAAATCTTATTTTTTTTTGCATATCGAACAAAAGTCTGGTATTTAAGTAGAGAAGAATAGAATTATGCCCACTATATGCCAAGTTTCGAGCCATGCACCAGCTGGCCCTCGGGAATTTCTAGGTTATAAATCAAAGCAGGAAAAAGAAGCAAAATATTTGGAACTTACAGAGTTTCTAGGTACTTCAATTGGCTTAAATCAGGTATTTGACCTGTAAGTTCATTACTTCCAAGCCACCTTTAATGAGCCATTTTTAATTAGTAATATTCCATTAATTTGTAGATAACAAAAACCAAGCAATGTGATATGACAAAGGATAGCTTACAGATGAGTGAGTGCAGTTAATTTAGATATGCTTGGTGGCAATGGTCCAGAAATTCCAGCATTGGTTAAATTCCTTCATCCAAAACATAACCAAGTGCACAAAATTGTTATCAGAAAAGTGATATATTATTGATTGATCAGTAGTCAAATTACCAATAATACTCCTGGATTAAATAAGAAAATTAAACTTACAGTGAGATGATTCGTGTGTTCATGCCCGAAGAACATGTAACTCCAGTCCATGACTTGTCCTTTGGAAGGCATGGATCGCCATGCCAATCTTGAGGTTTTTTGTTAAAGCTTTTTCTCAAATCATCCATGACTGCCACTGTTTAAGTGCAACAAAAAATGTGTTACTCTGGGAAAAAAGGGCAACTCGGTGCACTAAGTTTTCGCTATGTGCGAGGTCCGAGAAAGGGCCGGACCACAAGGTCTATTGTACGCAGTCTTACCCTACATTTCTGCAAGAGATTATTTCCACAGCTAGAACCCGTGACCTGCTGGTCACATGGCAACACCTTTACCAGTTACGCCAAGACTTCTCGTCGTTACTCTAGAAACTAACAACTAAATTGACAGACAAATAGTAACAGTAGCGGATCCAACTCAAAACTCATGGTGTCTAAATTTGGATCCGCCACTGACTAGTAAAGGAAATATTGCTGAAAAAACCATTACCATCTCTAGTGAGAGTGAGTCCAGCAAGCGGCAAAAGTTGGAAGACTTCACCAGCAGCAATCACAGGTCCAACAGGACTATTATTCGGGGGAATCAATGTAATCTTAGTTTCCCCTTCAAGAGGCCAAGTTGTGCTATAAACAGTAACACCATCGGTTGTGACATTAAGGTTGCTGTAGAATTTTGCTCCATTTACTAAGACATCAAAAACTCTCCAGCTAAATGGGCTCGGCGTCCTACTATCTTGAAAGTACAAAGCAATGTAGTAGTATGTCTTAGGAACAGGAAATGGTGGCCAATTTACCACAAGAGTTTTTCCTCGACTGGCTGTTATTGAATTTTCAAATAGCTTTTCAGGTGGCATATTCCAGAATGCTGAAGGAGTTATACTTGTATGGCTTGTTACAACTGGATTGTCGTCGAGTAATGGATACCAATAACGATTGAATTTGTCATCTGGAAAACTAGTTCAACATGTTCAACATCATCTATCAAATGTCAATTAATATCCATGTAACCAAACAAAACATTTAAAGAAGAATGTATTGAAAATTTCAACATCAAAATAGATGTATATTTATGTTGTTTCCAGCTCAAGAAAGGGATCATAAAACTAAGGGATAGTTTCACAGACGGATCATCCAACTTTCAATTTCTTCTACCAAAATCTAAAACTAATTTTTGTAATGGGAAGGAAAAATAACTCTACTATGACTATATATATCACAGAAAATGAAAAACATCGAAAAATGCTAAATACATCCCCATAGAAGCAGTAGGTTGTGTCACTTCAACAACTCACCTTACATAATATTCATGTGGCACCACTTAAAAGATTTTTAAAAAGACTATTATATGCCACATGGTGAAAGACATCGGGTATTAGATTGGATTGGCAGATGAGCTTTTTGTTTTCTTTAAGTGGTGCCACATGAATATTATATAAGGTGAGTTAAAGACGTAGCTATACTTACTGGCAATTTTATACATGTAACTACCTACTTGTGATTTCGGGATTGAATTTAGCATTTTCCGGCATTGTTTATGTTCTGCCGTATATGGGTACAGTTGAAGTGTTGTGACACCCTAGGCAAATCCCACATTGACAAAATACGGGAGAGATATTGGGTATATAAGTAAACATGTCTTAGACTCTAGTGACGCCTTTTAAAGTCGTGCGGGTCTAGGTCCAAAGTGAACAATATCACTAGTGGTTGGGCGGTTACAATTGTCTCATGAGTTTGATGCAATAAACTGAAAATTGGATGACCATCCACAAAATTATCCCAAAAACTAATAGTGAAAACTCAAAAAAAAATAAA